TTTTTGCTCTGGGATCTGGTTTTTGCTTTCTGTTTGTGCTATCCTCCATGGTGGTTGTTGCTAGTGCTAGTTTTTGCTTTTGTTTCACGTTGATGGTTTTGCAATGATACTGATTGTTTTTGTTTTTGCTTCGNTTTGCTCTGGGATCTGGTTTTTGCTTTCTGTTTGTGCTATCCTCCATGGTGGTTGTTGCTAGTGCTAGTTTTTGCTTTTGTTTCACGTTGATGGTTTTGCAATGATACTGATTGTTTTTGTTTTTGCTTCGTGTTGTTATGCCTTTCTCTTGAGACTTGATTTGTATGAATTCTTATGAAGTTGATTTCAAGAACAATGCAATTAAGTGAATATTTGATTTGATTAATAGCAGATTAGGCAAATTGTATTGGAATTGAATGTATTGGTTTGATAATTTTTAAGTGTTTGTTAACTCAAAAATTAAGTGAATGCAATTAAGTGATTCAAGTTTGAGGGTGGAGGTTGGACTGTTAATTGAATGCATTGGTTTGTTAATTGAATACAATTAAGTGATTCATGCTTGATAACTTTGTTTGATTTAATATATATTGAACATGTTATTTTTATAACTATTTTAATTTTTTAGTCTATTTATCATCATTAATAATTATTTTTTATTTTTTTATTATATCACCGGTTCGACCAGTGACCCAGTAATTGAACCAGAAACCCGTTGACCCGGTCCCTTCTCCGGGTTGATGTCCGGGCTAAGTTTTAAAACTATGAATAATACTATCTATTAGAATAAAATTAAAAAATAAAAAAANTTTATTTTTTTATTATATCACCGGTTCGACCAGTGACCCAGTAATTGAACCAGAAATCCATTGACCCGGTCCCTTCTCCGGATTGATGTCTAGGCCGGGTTTTAAAACTATGAGTTAGAGGTAACGCGCGTGAGGCTGATAAGCCCAAGCTGCCACTGCCACGCTAGCGAAGGATCATGTATATCTTCTCGTTAATTCAGTGCTTGACCCTGATCTATCTATATTTAGGTGAAAGATAATCGTTAGTAGATAGACAACTTCAAGCCTACACTATTAATCACATAATACGGAAATTATACTTTAATCTCTTCTATTATAACCCCCTATCCAATGTTGCCCACTCAGCTACAATTTTTTACACATTGAATTTATTAACTGTGATTATTAGTTTCACATTGTCTAAACATAAGTAACATTTGTTATAAATTTAACAAAAATTTGCTCCCTAAATTGGTATAATTTGTCATTTTTGTCCATAATAAAATGATTTATACGTATTCCGAGAGTTGGAATTCCCCGTTCAACACTGAAATATGTATTTTATCCACTTATTATCTTATCATTGGACGATTGTACTATGTCAACGTGGTCACATATTACAACTTGGTCTTTCTTTCTTTGGTCAAATACTTGGAAATAAGCATTAGCTTTTGTGTGGGGGGATCAAGGTAGACTTTTCGGGCACATTAAAAATCAGACCCTATCAATATATTACATAACTAGTTATTTGTCGTACTTGAAGACACAGTAATAAAAAATATAATTAACAATAAACATATTTATATCCACACTCAAAATCAAATTACAAAGATAGAAGAAAAATAAATAAATTTAAGCATCCTGTTGTAGTTGAGGCAAGTGGTAAGAGTCGACAATGGTGGTGGTGGTCAAAGATAGTGATGGGTAACGATGACCTGCTGTGATGATGGCAACCGTGGAGGCAATGGTGATGATGGTGGTAAGGCGATAGGGGTGGTGGTAGTAGGAATGATGGTGGGACAATGGCGATAGTGGTAAGATGGCGATAACGATAGTGATAGTGGTGGTGGCGGTGGCAGTGGCGGCGGCGAAGTGGTGGTGATGGTGATAAGATGGCGGTAGCAATTGTGGGACGGTGGGTGTGATGGTGATGGTGGGATGGTGACAGTGATATTGGCTGTTGTGATAGAGGTAGTAGTGGAGTAGCGGTGATGATGGTAGTGGTAGTGGTGGTGGTGGTGGTGGTGGGGGTGGTGGGGGTAGTGGTGTGATAGTATTATATATTAATATAAAATATTTAAATATAGTATTTGGAATTATTTTTCTTGCTTATACATCTTGTGATGTGATTCAAATTTTTTATTACATGATTTGGTTGTTAAATCATCACGAATACTTTTATTTATGTTTCGTTTATTCCAATACCAAATACATAAAGTGCTTCTTTAATGTAAATTTTTATAATTTTGAGTAGACTTATTGATAAGGGAAAATTACATTTAGATATCTGAAGTTTTTCATTTAATCACTCAGACTCCTAATATTTGAAATATTACACACAAATTGCCTAAGATTTATATGCGTGTAACACTTAGATCCTTGTCGTTAATGTCCGTTAGTAAATTACACCCAGACCCTCTAAAGTTTATAGGTGATGTATAATACTTAAACTTTTTAAGTTTAAAATGTTATACTTAGACTAAAAATATTTCAATAAAAGATAAAATATCAAATATTTTAAATTTGATAACCAAAATTCATATTTTATTGTATCATTTATTAAAATAAAAAATTAATTTTTTAAAAAAAAATTATAATTAATATACAATGATACTATCGTAAATTATAATACCATTGAATTACAGCATTCTCATTTTTCAATGTGAACTTTCCATTGATGGTGACCTTTTCATGATATGAACTATCCTACTAATTGTCTAATAAAAAAAAAAACCTGGTTAGAAATATCTTCTTCCATTCTCCATGAATTTTTTTATGTTCTTGACAAGTCAAGAGAAATGGATACATTTTACTAATAGGTTATATGCGCAGAATACATTCTTCTTGCTAAACAACTATCTATTTCAAAAATTTAAGTTGTCGGAGAGGTGTAATTTAAATATTTATAGTTCAACACATTCCATCATGTGTAGGCTAAATTTTGGGTCTAACATGTAAATTTTTTTTAATAATTAGTGTGACAGTGATATTTGAATAAATGACCTACTGTTCTGATACCATATTAAATAATCATCTATTTTAAAAGTTTAAACCATCGAAGAGAATATAACTTGAATATTTATACTTCAACACTTGCTTATTGCACGTGATTTATCATTTTTTTGTATTTGAAGTTGCAAAAATGTTTTCTTATTCACAATTAGAATTATAAATAAGATTTTTTTTTTCTCAAACATTTTTATTAAATGCAGGCTCATCGATTGAAAAAGGGGAAGTAGAAAAGCATTAGTTGATCAGTCTCTTAAATAAAGTGGATATGTAATATTAACTTACATATTTTCTTTTAAATTTAACTTCGTAGGTCGCCGACATGGGCTACCAAGCTGATACTTTTTTTTTTTGCTTGGACAAGTGCCGATAACTTTCTCGACGGCGAAATAGACGATAATTAGAAGAATCACCGTTAATACCATTTTTCGGCTTTTAGGGTGGCAATTTTTTTCAAGAATCACAAGATGAATCTAATATGTTCAAATTTATCCAAATATTTTTGCAAAGTGTTGGAGGCGTGTTCAAAAGGTAATAATCAATTTAGGTATTAATTTATATAAAGTGATGTGGTAAAAAATAATACTAAGGAGGGCATCTATCTATATCTATGCTAAAGTTTTTCGTAATATATATATAAGATATGTTAACCAAAAAAACATGCATGCCCCCCCGCCGCGCCCCCTCGCTCCCCCGGTGGAGTCTAGGGCTGGCTCGGCCTGGTTGATAACATGTATTGAATATTTAAATTCTCAAAAAATAGATAAAGTAAAATAACATCGTGATGGAACATGATTTTTTTTAATCAAGCAGCATAGAATTTTTACAGGCCGGCGGAATAAATAAATTATAAAGAAAGGACCAGTTAAAATATTAGTATTTTGGGTAGTAAAGTGNATTTTTTTTAATCAAGCAGCATAGAATTTTTACAGGCCGGCGGAATAAATAAATTATAAAGAAAGGACCAGTTAAAATATTAGTATTTTGGGTAGTAAAGTGAAAAATCATAGAAAAAACAATTTTTTAATCGTGGGGCCATCCGCAATTCACTGCTCGAAACATTATGATCACTCAATTAATCTTTTTTTTTTATCCAATTAAAAACAAATAATACACGTCGAAACTATGATGCTGGTGTTGGTGATTAGATTAGAATACACTTTTTTAAAAATTTTAATTATATTACATATTTTTTACTTCTTTAGATCGATTTAAGCTAATTAGAAANGGCTCGAAACATTATGATCACTCAATTAATCTTTTTTTTTATCCAATTAAAAACAAATAATACACGTCGAAACTATGATGCTGGTGTTGGTGATTAGATTAGAATACACTTTTTTAAAAATTTTAATTATAATACATATTTTTTACTTCTTTAGATCGATTTAAGCTAATTAGAAAAAATTTCTTGTAATTTTCTTTTCTTTTAAACAATAGAATGAAAATTTTTTATGTTAACTAAATATATACATGAAAATATATATTTTTTTTCTTTTATTTCACTTTCTATCACTTTTATTTTCTAACTAAATATATACAAAAATCTCGTATACTTGGTAATTTTATTTACCTTTCTAGCAAGTCTTGGTTTTAAAAGAGTCACTGGACCCGCATCTTTAGATGGGTGGTGGCCTTTGGTAGTGGGAGACTTTTTTAATCCGTCAATGTTAAGGAATTATGGCGTTAAGGCGGGAATGGGGTTAGTACTTTAATTTGAAATGAGGTCTACTAGGTTTTCATCGGTTACCCTACATATCTAAAAAGTAACGGGAAAGGAAAGATTTTCTTAAATGACAACTTTACCCATATTAGATATAAAAGTACCAAAAAAAAAAAAAAACGCAAAGCTGCCAATAATCTTATCTGCACGAAAACCCTCCCTTAAATCCTATATAAACCAGAAGAACCTCAACCTTCTATTTCACAATCACAGACACAAAGCTACCACACAGCAAAGTTGTCCAAAAAGTCTCTGCTGCGAAATTTAAGGTTTTTCTAAGATCAGTTATGGAGGTTCATGGTGATAAGGGAGTGAGTAGTAAGGTTAGCCGTTGGGTTTTTCCTCAGGATTTTGTCTTTGGGACTGCTTCTTCTGCTTATCAGGTGGGTAAGGTTATTTTTGTTTTGATCTTAGTGGGTTTGATTTGAAGGTTAGTGATATGTAATGGTTTGAACTGATGATTTGTTTGTGTGGTTTTTTTTTTTCTTTTGATCTCTTGTAGTATGAAGGTGCTGCACATGAAGGTGGTAGAGGGCCAAGCACATGGGATCATTTCACCCAGAGAACACCTGGTCTCTCTCTCTCTCACTCACACACACATACGTGTACAAACACAAACAAAAAATGTAATGAAGGTTGTCTTTGACAATTAGATGGCCAGTGTACCCAACAAAGAGGGAAGTAAAGGGTTTGATTTAGTTTTTTAACTGTTTTGAGCGGTAAAACCTGTAAAATTAATGAAAGTGCATGGTTCTGCATACTGGATATTAGCCTACTCCATTTTCTCACACACACAAACACATACGCACTCATTTTGATAAGAGTTTATATCCATGGCAGGTAAGGTGAAGAATGGTTGCAATGGGAACGTCGCTATCGATTCTTATCATCGTTTCAAGGTGATGTTAACACTTAAGCTATTGCCTTCAAAAAACGTATTATGCAGGCATGTTCTTGGATCTTAGGATCTGTCAATCACATTCTAAAAACAGGGGTGTGGCCGTGTGGGGGTGTGTGTGTGTGAGAGAGAGAGAGAGTGTCCTTGTTGCTGATTCCATATACATTAGATTAGTATTATGCATATTCTTGGACCATTTGATCACTCACATGTAGACAAAATTAATGGATGTTTGGTAACTGTTTTTCTTGTGTTTTGTGTTTTTATTTTTACTTTTTTATCAAAAATAAAAACAAAAATATGTTTGAGTACTGTTTTTGTTTTTGTTTTGTATTAGCTTTTTAGAAACAAAGACAAAAAAATGAGAACAAAAAAAAGATGTTTCAAGAAACACAAAAAACAGAGAAAACACGCGCAAAAAAGGTGGGAATTAATGAGATTTGGACTTTGATTCCTCTTAACAGCAAAACAAGCATTTTTATTGTTGAAATATAAAAACTCATTTCACCCTTCTCTCCTCCAATCGCTTCTCTTTCTCTGTCTCTCTCCTCTCTCCTTCATCTCTTCTTTCTCTGTATCAGACCATTGCCTCCGTTGTTGCCTCCTCTCTCCTTTTTCTGTATGAAATCCAGAAGCTCTCCTTTCTCTATATGAAACTCAAAAGCTATGAACCCACCTCAATCGTTGCCTCTCTCTCTCTCCTTTCTTCTCTCTCCTTCTTCTCTGTGAAACCCATAAGCTATGTATATATATGCATAGATTGCTGCCTCCAGGCGAATCGCCACCTCCATCGCTACCTCTCTCCTTTTTCTCTGTGAAACCCAAAAGTTTTCATATATATGCACAGATCTGTGCATGTGTGTATAGTGTTTGTTTGGTATCTGTTTTGCGTGTGTGTATGTGTTGTGTTAAATCATGTAGGATTGATTGAATTATAATTTGGGATTAAATTGTCATTTGCAGCTGATTGAATTTTCATTTCGGATTGTTGAATTGTCATTTGAGATTTAAGTACCAAATAGATATCAAAACATATTTTTTGTTTTTATTCTCATAATTTGATAGACAAAAATGACTTCCAAACATGTTTTTTGTTTTAGTGTTTATTACAAAACAGAGACAAAAAATTGTCTCTATTTTTAATTTTTTAAAGACTCGAAAATAAAAACGTTACCAAATAATCCCTAAATATTTTGAGTTTGAACAATGTTATTAAAATCTAATTTATTGACCTAATGTACTATGACTTTTAGATTGATTGTGAAATTCATCAAACATTGAAACTTAGTATTAATCCAATAATTCTAATGAAAACATATCATTAGATGAGTAAATTATATCTAAATAGTAATACTCTTTGAGTATAGTTTACTCGAATTTGAGTTTTATCTCGTCAAATAAAGGGGTTGGCGAGAACTAATACCTAATCCGGCCACGCTTGATCAGTGCATGTTTAGATCTACTATGAATTAACAAAATTTTGACACGACATACAAAGGTGATTATAATGCAGGACTGGGTTGAGACTAACCCTTGAAGAGTCACTATTAACTCCTATTTAACAAAATAAACATTACAGGAAGATGTGGGGATTATGAAGAAAATGGGTTTTGATGCCTACAGGTTCTCTATTTCTTGGCCTAGAATATTGCCAGGTGAGCATCATCTCTTTTTAATAATCATCTCTCACATAAACTTCAAGCACCATTTGATCAAGTCAACTTAAGCATACAATAAAAAAAATTTGTTGTTCTTAGAGTAATTTGTTCTAAAATATTTCAAATTTTAGGTGGAAAACTAAGCGGAGGCGTGAACAAAGAAGGAATCAAATACTATAACGACCTTATCGACGAGCTCCTAGCCAAGGGTCAGGATTCGATCTCGACTTTCCCATCATTAATTGACTATTTTAATTTGTAAACTTCTCTCATTTCAATCTTTAATTAATTAATCTTTATCATTTTATGTGCAGGCATAGAGCCCTTTGTAACTCTCTTCCACTTTGTATAATTTTCATATTTTTATAATTTTCTTTTGGCTGAAGTTAATTTAATGGCTAACAACTAGGGCGGAATTAAAAATTTTGTTTAGGATGGACACTTTAATTGCACACTTCAATTTTTTTTCTCCTAACTAATCACACCATATAATACATTTATATTTATTATATCATATTTGGTACATGAAGTTCATTTAATGTAAAAAAAAGTCAAAAAAAATATAAAAAAATGACTAATTATCTCAATTATAAAAAAGTAGAACTAATTATCATTTTTATAAATAAAAAATATCAATTATTCACTAACAATTCATTAAAAAATGATGTTTCAAAAATTATCATTAAGATATTAGCATAATAAAATTATGAAACTAAAATTTAAGAGCTAAACATAGTAAAAAAAATTGAAAATTGATTGTCATATAATAAAGACTATAATCAATGCTCAAATATAAATATAGACGATTTCTCGTAGAAAAAATAAAAGTCAAATGAAGGTTACTTGCAAGAACTTTCACTTGCAAAAATTCATAAATAATAAAATTAAGTTTATTTGAAAAAAGCCTTAATACAATAAAAAAAAAACTAAACAATTGAAATAAAAAAATTATAGTGTGAGCACAAGTATAAAATATATGTATAATTTTTAGACCCCTATGTAGCTCTGCCTATGCCAACACCATTCTATTATAATCAATGGCTGCAAATAGTATCGATCGATTGTAGGGATGATATTTCATTTTAATTTATGTCATTCATTTTACTTAGAAAAACAAGATTTATGACTACGATTTAATTAAAATCAAACTAATTTACTTAACCAGGCCTGATTTTTGCGAGTACGCACAACTTTGCTTTTGGAAATTTGGTGATCGCGTAAAAAATTGGATAACGTTGAACGAGCCACATACCTACTGTGTTGGCGGGTATGTAACTGGCATATTTCCACCCAGGCGGGGCGCTACTGAACCTGAGCATATTAAAGCTTCCTATTTTCCCCCCTCTCGATGTTCTCCAAGGCATGATCATGAGCAAACTTGCAACGATGGCGATCCAGGCACTGAGCCATATTGGGTGACACACTACCAACTCCTTGCTCACGCAGCAGTTGTCGCATTATATAAGACCAAATTTCAGGTTCTTGTTTAAGCATCATACCTTAAACTTTTTCGATTAATCTTTGTGACAATCCTAAACTAAATATCATATAAGAAAATCTTAGCCTAGATCATTTAATCTAGGGGAAGTGTAGGTAAAATCATTCTGAGTACAATTAGTTTTCTTAAAAGCCCCATGCATGATTAATCAAGATGTTAAACTTTTGCAGATAACTCAAGCAGGCAAGATTGGGATTACACTTGTGTCACAATGGTGGGAGCCTCTTGATGAAGACAATGATCAGGATGTTGAAGCTGCATTTCGAGCCCAAGATTTTATGTTTGGATGGTAAGTACGTATGTGTTTTAATTAATTATAATCCAGTGGCCTCAATTCCTCGTGGTTATATACGTTGTGCCTATCTTATTCCATCAAAGAAAGAAAAGTTGTATATATGTAGTGCACAAGACTTCCCGACTATGAATAGATCATTTTGACAGGTATGTAACACTTAGTTTTTGTTCTTTCATTTGTATTTTAGGTTTATGGAGCCACTAATAACTGGTGATTATCCAGCAAAAATGAAGAAACTAGTTGGTTGTCGTCTTCCTGAGTTCTCACCTGAACAGTCCAAGTTGGTAAAGGGATCATATGATTTTCTAGGATTGAACTACTACACTGCTAGTTATGCATTCAATGTTGCACCCGATCCTCATAAGAAAACTTATAGCTACTCCACAGATTCTCATATTGAATTTACAGGTAAGTTGAAAGTTTATTTTGCTTCTCATCAATTATAAATTTCTTTTTTGTAATTAGGATACTGAATTAAATTGATTATGAATTTCTTTTTTTTGCTAGCGGAGCGGAATGGTATACCCATTGGTCCAAAGGTAAGGCCTTAACACTTTAATTTTTTCTCTAATACATAAAGAGCATCAAATTCAATGCATATAATTCTCGCTATTGTAAATCTTAAAAAAAAAGGGTGATATATTCTTGTATTACGTTTGTTATATGTTTTGGTCCTCATACTTTTTCATCCTTTAACATTGCAGGGTGGTTCAGATAAGCTCTATGGTTATCCCGAAGGACTTTCTAAGCTGCTTCTCTATATAAAGAAGGCGTACAATAAGTACGGTACTCTTCCACCTATTTACATCACCGAGAATGGTAATTACGAACTTTTTAGCATCAAACATGCCAATTTTGTCATTTAGAAGGAAAATAAAAAATTCAAGTTTGATTATTATATGTTCAATTTGAGAAACAAATCTCCCCCTTGTTTTACAGGTTATGATGAAAAAGATAACTCTAGCCTAACTCTCTCGGAAGCTCTTGTTGATCAAATGAGGATAGATTACCACAATGACCATCTTTTTTATATTCAGCAAGCAGTGAAGTAAGTTTACAAAAGACACACAGATACACATACTTGTCCAACTTTGTTGTTGTGTTTTAATCTTGCATTTTTTTGGTGTCATTGTGAAAGGATACTTTGCGTGGTCATTAATGGACAACTTCGAATGGATTGACGGTTATTCTGTTCGTTTTGGCATCATTTATGTTGATTACAATAATGATTTGGCAAGATACCCAAAAGAATCAGCCATATGGTTCGCGAATTTTCTTCGAAAGGTTACACAAACAAAAGCCTCAAACAAGCCACGTCTTGATCAACAAAGGCAAGAGAAGGAGTGAATCAAGAAAAATTAAAAAATAAAGAAGATAAAAAAAAAAAAAAAAACTCTTTACTTTTCCCAACCATGTTTGTTGTATTCAAATAAGCTAAGGTACGTACCAACTATAGTTGGAATTGGTACCTAACTTTGTCAAGGTTGATCAATGTTTACATTTAATCATTGATCATTGTGTTGTAGCTCATTGTATCTTTGAATCTTGCGATTCCCTTTCATGTTTAATGGAGATATGGTAATAGTTGAGTTATTTAAATTCTTTTTATTTTTGGCGATTTCTTTACTCATTTTTTTACATAAGGACAAAACAAACATTTTCCATCTAGGATGGACTTAAAAGTAAAATATTTTTCACATAAGATTTTTTGACAAATATGTATGTTTTGATGAACTGACCTCCAAAAAACACCTTTTTTTTTTTTTTGATTAATTTCAACCAAACCCAACACCTACGTGATGGCCCAGTCATAGTCATAGAGCACGTCTTCTTTTTCTCTCAAAGTTTGGCTCTTTAATTAGCATGCACATGAGATCAGCGAACGGTTGGCCTAATAATTATCAATCTTGCTATTAGATCTTAAATTATGGATTCGAACCTCATAATCCTCGACCCTTATAATAGACTTTTATTTGCCTTCACCCCTTCCCCCCCCCCCCCCCTAAAAAAAAAAAAGTAAAAATTGGAAGTGAGTCCCTCTAAATGTACTTATTTAGAGATAAGTCCTACAAAAAAATTTATAAGAGACTAAGTCCATGTTTAAAATTATATCTAATGACTTAAGTCCAATTTTTTTTTTATCTCAAAAATACTCTTTTTTGAAAGGAAGTTAATCTTTTCTCTCTCATATCTATCTATATCCATATATAAGGTAAGAGTTTGACTAATATTAAAATTTTTCTACTCTCTTATCTATCTATATCCATATATAGGTTAGGTGTATATATATATAGTAACATTAAAAAAAATAATAACATTCAAATAAAAAAAAAGTTACTATGAATTTGAATAATAAAATTTAAATTCCTGTTACTATTTTTTTATTATGTTACTGTTCATGTACTATTATTTTTGAGCATGTTATTGTTTTTGTTGAACATATTACTACTATTATTTTCTTAAATATTAATATTCAATGTTACTATTTTTTTTTTTGAATATTACTATTTTTTGTATTTGAATGGTACTATTTTTTGTGTTTAAATTTGAGAAAAATAATTTTTGTTAAGTATGTTACAATTTTTGTTGAATATGTTACTAATTTTGTTGAACATGTTAATATTTTTGTTGAACATGTTACTGTTGTTATTTTTTAAAAATATTAATATTGAATGTTTCAATTTTTTTTATATGTTTAAATGGTACTATTTTTTTGTGTTTAAATGTATTATTTTTTGTGTTCAAATGATAACTTTTTTTTTATTTAAATGTTACTATTTTTTATTTTTAATGTTACTATATATAAGAGAAAATTTTTTAATGTTAGTCAAACTCTTAACCTATATATAGATATAAATATATATGAGAGAGAAAAGATTTTAATGTTAGTCAAACTCTTAAGTTTTAGGAGTTTTTAATTTTTAATATTATTTCACTTATAAAGGGAAGGGATAGTATGGTAAAATTGACAAAAAACAAATTTTATAACAAATAAATTTTCTTGACAAACTTAAATTCAAACAAGTCCATATAGGGGACCGACCTCCAAATTTCCCAAAAAAAAATTAGTGTGAAGTGCATACTAGATTATCCAGATGCTTAAACTGGATCGGCCCAAGCCCAGCTCCAGCAATGTAGGATAGCCCAAGAGTAAGTATTGAATTTGAAATACTTTTTCATACTTGAGTTGTAGCCATTTAATTTCCATGCCTTTTGTGTGTAATGTGGAACTCATTAACTTTCATTTCATAGAACAAAAGATGCAAAAAGAATTACAGAAAATGGTGGATAAGAAATCCACCCAAAAAGCACAAAAACAAAGAACATGAAATGAAAGTAGCAAATATACAACATGAAGAGACACTTGAAAATCTCAAAGTAGCAAATATACAAGAAATGTACATATATTTTCTCTTGCCTAAGCCTTCAACATCCACAGATAATCGTCGATTATGGACATGGCAGATGAACGGTAGCCAGAACCAAATAGATTGTAGTGATTCAAGTAATGGTATAGCATATAAAGATCTCTCCTCTTCTCAAAGCCAGGTTGCTTGGGCATGACCTGATTTGGATTGGAAATCAACCAAGAATGAAACTGAACAAATGAGTTTGGAAGCACTTTTTCAAGCATCAAATGTTTTCATTCGTAGTTCACATAATGATCATATCGTCGAACGTATATTTCATATCATATCATATTTTTCATCTGTTTCTCTTTGCCACACTAAGGTGAAAGGGGGAACATGAGGAAGACCATGATAAAGAAATATGGTATGGTCTTCTAGGTATATACTACTTGGATCTGCCTGCAAGTGAAAATGGAGAGGAAGATACCTCAAAATAGGCATTGTAGAAAGATCCTCCAAATCCAGCACACCATGACATTCCGAATTCCGCCTCATTATGTCCATCTACATAAAATGGAAGGACTTGCAACATCAACACGTAGTCCTCTAAATAGCAGTAGAAGCTCGTAAGAAGAAACATATTCAACCAGTTTTCTGCATATTTTATGATAATCAGAACTTCTATTTGACATTATATTATTATAGTAATCAATTGCTTATGGTCCCAACTGTCTGCCGTGCATATCCTTGAGTCCTGACAAAGCCTATATGTTGACTAGTCATGCCTATCCTTGAATCCGACATGGCATGTAATTCTCTGCCTCAACGCCGTATAATTCGCAAGCATTTTCAGTTGCCTTGACAACGTTGGACTGGGACAGAAAGACACAGCAGCATAGCACCTTTTTGCTGCGATAAGCTTAAGGGTAATAACCTGGCCCCTTAGGCAAGGATTTCACTGTCTCAAAGCACAAAGTAGTACCATGGACTCGGGTTACTGCACCCTTGTCATGGGCTTCCCAAAAAGAACCAAGACACACTTACCAAACACCAGATATGTGTTGCGATCTTCAAGTCCGTGCACGTTTATGTGCTGAGCTTGCATTTAATGTTGGTCAAGCCTAACGTTATTGGGACATTAAAGCCCCATTAAGGGGCCGATCTACCACTCATTCCTTAACCCTCATTGCATATTGCTGGCACCTCCAGCTTCTTCTTAGGTTGCCTTCCCTTCCCTCATCCTCTCCCAATCCCAGGTCCAAGTCGTAGTCCTATTTGTGGCACCTCTCCATACCAGCAACCCTTTATCAACGCTGTTTAAATTTCCAAAGGATAGGATATACCTACACTACCACGTTACAACAGTACAAGAAAATTGTAGTCAAACACAGCCATGAACACCAACCTATCATCTCTCACAAACATCTCATCCGTGGTATTTGCTTTTCAAAATTTTACTTGTACACAAAACAGATGACCTTCATTTCATTCATCCAGATGCCCCTTAACTTCCAGTTCATTAATGCAGATACCCCTTGACTATGTGCGATTATATTTATTTCACTGCTGGAAATCGGTACAGTTCCTAACCACTTTCATTTTTTATGAAATAAAAAAAAAACCCATAAAGTACAGGATTTACAGTGTGTTTCGGAACGTTTTCCAAACCCTGAATGAAAAGTTTGTAATTCCTAACTTGGTAGGTGTATTGATTATAGTCTCATAATGTAATTAATTGATGGAATAGACTAATTATTTGGTTGGAAAAAGTTGGTAAGTGTGATAATTTATTAAAGAATTGATGCTATGTTAGCAATGGAAGAATTGTGTTTATTTTACTGGAAAATGACTGAAAATTGGAAGAAATAAAGTAAAAGGAGAAGCATAGTTGAAGAGGAGCTTTCTGGAATGCGGTCCGAACGGTGGAATGCTTTGCGTCCGGACGGAAATGACATAAGGTGAAGGCTGAGGCGCTTGAAGAGTTGGAACATGCTGCCAATTCCGCCCGGATGGTTGAAAACATGCTTCCGGACGCGTGTTGCTAGAGTGCCAACGCTAACAAAGGAGTTATATAGTAATTAGATCTTTTCTAAAATCATGCTATATACAAGAGAGGATGGTTGTGTAGAGAGTACCTTTGCTTTAGTTTTTTTAATTATTTTCCTTCGGTTTACTGTTGTCATGTCTGGTCAGGAAGTTTAGCTAGGACTAGGGGAGAACCTCTCAACGAAGCACGATATTGTTATTGACTATTGGACTTAATGGTATGCGACATTTTGTTAATTTAACTTTTGATTCTTAACAAAGTTTTTGCTGTAAAGGTTCTTGAGTCATTGTGTCTTATACTATGATTTCTAGAATTTCCTTGCGAGACAAATAACTAGTTATTTCATACTTAAGTTAATTACAATTTATTTCACATAATAATATAAGTAGAGGATTATTCGGATAAAATACGAATTTGATTGTTAGGACAGTTTGATTTATTGTAGACTCCAGACACAGTAAATATTTACAATAGATGAACAGTTTTTTAATTTTTTTAGATAAACTTTTGGTTATAAACAAATGTGTTTTCTCATTCTTATTGCTAAATTTGGTGACTTGAGTCAGTTGACACTTTATTCTTGTCTAGGGTTAAAAACTAAGTTTTTAATCATTATTGTATGGATTTGAGAAGGTGTACCTGAGGCTCTAGTATACTTTTTATACTGTTTTAATCACTTTATTCAATTTTATCAATTCAAACACTCTTTTAAAACAAAACATCTGCGCAAGTTTCTCATAAAATTTAGTGTGGTTTCTGCTGTTTTTACAATTCTCTGAGGGTTCAACCTCGATCTTCTGAGTCTATATTACTTTGTACAACCTGCGCTTGGATTTACATATTTGAAGTTGTAGCAAATTTTTTGCCTGGGAATTGTTTGAAGACAAGGACCACACTGCCATCTATTGAGGTTTGCAAGATTTGAGAGATCCAGTAAGCTCGTCCCCTATATTTTTTATTATTTTTTTCTCCTTTTGGTAGATTTTCACAATTTATATTTTTAGATTTTTTTTAATGTGGTGTGAAGTTTTTTCCCGATGGAGAAACTGTGTGATTTGTGATGTGTTTAGGCATTCCACAACAATGTGCCCTTTAGTTCCAACTGCTCGAAGGTTTTTTAGGGATAGGTCAATTGTATTACTTAATTCTTTTCAACCTTACCCCAACAATTTTTCTGAAATTTTTTATCTTGATTTTAGTTGAGGGAACAAACATTATCAATTACTAGGACATCTCACACCACCGTAAGAGCCTCTCCAATATCCCTTATACCATGACTCAGAAAAAGAAAGATTAAAGAATATTTTTAATGAATTTATGCAAACCCAACTAGCTTTCGATGTCCAAATAATCCAAGGTATTAAAGAGATAAAAAACATGCTCAATACATTGATACAAGACAAGAGATAGAGAATGATCAATGTAATAAGGGTGATTTTTTTCCTAAACTACAGATTGAGGATGAATCCACTAATACTCTTGATAGTAAAAAATTACGTAACATTATTATTCAACAAGAGGCAAATGAGCCCAAGGACCTTTCATTATCAAAGAGTAGTAATGAGATTCACATATCTAATCTTGGTGAGAGTATGAAAGTTGAGTTGTGTTCTGTAATTGATAAAGATTTATTTTTTATCTCATTGTTAGATTTACATAAAAATGTATGTCTCTTTTTTCTTGCATATTCAAAGTATATATTGGATGTATGAGTGGATAGTTCGATTAAATAAGTTATTTCGACATCATATTTTTAAGCCATTAAAATTAAAATAGCACATATTCAAATTAAATTTTAAGCTGGATTGAGTATGAACTTTTATTTTTATTTGTGCATAGTAGTTAGATTTTTATTATTATTTTTTTTGTTTAATTTTAATTTCTTTTCTGTTTGTTTCAATTTATAGTTTTTCATTTTTTATTAAGTCTTTTATTTTTAGGTTATTGAGTTCTTGCGACACCAGGTATTCGTACTCGTTTGATCTTTATTCATTATTTTTATTAAACATTAAGGTATTTATTTTGACATTGAGGACAATGTTGAATTTAGGTTAGGGGTGTAGGTATGTTGTGTTATAAAAATTCTTAATTTATGTTTTTTTTTGTGATAGTTTCTAGTTTTATTTGCGTTGGTAAAAAATAATAAAAAAAATTTCAAAAAATTAAAAATTAAAAAAAAAATGTTTCATTTATTAAATATTTAAATAACATATTTATGCATAATTTGACACCACAATATAAGAATAATTTGATTAGCTTTAAATTTGCAATTGTTTAACCATCATATAGAACTTTATTCTATATTTTTGTATCTCATATCATGTTCTTATAAAAACTCACAATTTGTGCACTTTAAACTTTACCAAGTTGAAAATTTGTTAGGTACTTTACTTTGAGAACTTGAAACATATAACAGAGATACATAAAAACCCTAGTGAATTTTAATTCAATCTTCCTTGTAAGGTTATTTACTTTTACTCAATAAAGAATATTTTTATTCAACTAATTTTTTTCAATAGTCTCATTATTTTTGTTTTGGTCAACATGATTGCCTGACTTTAAATTATTTGCATGAAAAGTGTATTATCAAAAGCTCTTGAAATATGATTTTAAGCAATCTTTGACATTATTTGAGTCTGAACCTTATTCTTTGAATATTATTATCCTTAAAAGTCATGATTGAGCCTTTGAAACAAAATTTTATTTCTTATACTAAGCATCTAATAATCAAACCAATGAAAAAAAAAATAATATCATTTACCCTTGATTATTCCGAGATTGAGTTTTTATTGTTTATATAATTTGCGAGATATTGGTTGAAAAAAGATAATCAAAAGGAAAAAAAAAATTTTGTATACTTGTGAATATTTGTATTAATTGTTTTGCTGAAAAAAAAAAAAGTATATACATTAAATTGTCTTGCTGAGAAAAAAAAAAACAATATGTCTAACTGTGAAAAAAAAAGAGAAAAATAATAAGTATGGTTTTGACAAAATATGAGCAAGTATTGTAAATTGTGCTTCTAAAGAATGAAGAGTGAAAGACTATAGAAAGAAGTTTGATTGTGTAATGTAAATGTTCTCTCGGAATAGTCTTTTGAATTCTTGAATATCCTTCGTTTGAAAACCTTAATCCCATGGTCTCATTACAACCTTAGATAAAGGCCTATTTGATTTCAAGAGTGTATTGGTGGATGCATGACTTGTGTGAATAAGGAAGAAAATGGTGATTATTTGTTTATTGTATGTTGATTTCCTTTCACGAGACTATGTCAAATCCTTTTCTTTTAAATTACAATTATTTAAATAAACATGTGAGCATTATTTTATTTTGATTTAAATATCTTCTTCTCACATGTGATATTTGACGGAATAGTCACTATAATCTGAGAGAATCTTTAATAAGTAAATTATCTAGTAAGATTTGACATTGAGACGAATAGTTAATAATTGTAGAGGTGATTACCGAATAAGTTATTGACTTGGTATAGTTAATTCACATTACACACGATTTTATATGAGAACATGATAAGTGCACACATTTATATAGCGTAGAGTTCTATATTTTGCTTTGCATATGCTTATAAAAAGGCTTATAACTTAGAATTTTTATATTGTGGTAGCAATTTGTGTTATAAATTATTATTTAGATATTTGATCACAGAGTGATGTTTGTGGGTATCATCTCTGGAAACCCTCACGAGACTATACTCGTCCACTAAAGAAAACCTAGGGATTTACAAGTTTGTTGTATATGCTAAATGCAATCGTGAGTCCTACGAAAGTGATTTTGTTTTTATTTTATTTTTGTATACCTTACTAGGGACTAGCAAGGTCTGGGTTGAGGGGTGTGATTATGATCTCATAATATAATTAATTGATGGAAAAGAATAATTATTTGGTTGAAAAAAGTTGGTAAGTGTGATAATTTATTAAAGAATTGTGTTTTTTTTTAAGGAAAATGACTGAAATTTGGAAGAAACAAAGTGAAAGGAGAAGCATAGTTGAGGAGGAGCTTTCTGGAATGCACGTCTGGATGGTGGAATGCTTTGCGTTCGAACGAAAATGATAAAAGGTGAAGGCTGAGGTGCTTGAAGAGTTGGAACATACTGCCAATCGCGTCCAGAGCGTTGGAAACACGCGTCCGGACGCGTGTTGCTAGAGTGCCAATGCCAGCAGAGGAGTTATATTATAATTAGATCTTTTCTAAAATCATGATATATATAGGAGAGGATGGTTATATAGAGAATACCATTGCTTTAGCAGTTTTATTTATTTTCCTTTGGTTTACTGTTGTCATGTCTGGCTAGGAGGTTTAATTAGGGCTAGGGAAGAACCTCTCAATGAAGTACAGTATTATTATTGACTATTAGGCTTAATGGTATGCGATATTTTCTTAATTTAACTTTTGATTCTTAGCAAAGTTTTTGCTCTATAAAGTTTCTTGAGTCATTGTATCTTATACTATGATTTCTTGAATTTCCCTGTGAGACAAATAACTAGTTATTCCATACTTAAGTTAATTACAATTTATTTCACATAACTAGAGGATTATTCGGATAAAACAAGAATTTGATTATTATGAAAGTTTGATTTATTATAGATTCCGAACACAGTAAATACTTGCAACCGGCGAATAGTTTTTTTATTTTTCCGGATAAACTTTTAGTTATAAACAAAGGTATTTTCACATTCTTATTGCTAAATTTGATAACTTGAGTCAGTTGACACTTGATTCTTGTCTCGGGTTGAAAACTGAATTTTTAATCATTACTGTATAGATTTGAAATGGTATACCTGAGGCTCTAGTATATTTTTTATACTGTTTTGATCACTTTACTCAGTTTTATCAATTCAAACACTCTTTTGAATCAAAACATCTTTGCAAGTTTGTTATAGGATTTAGTGTGGTTTCTGCTGTTTTCACAATTCTCTGAGGGTTTAACCTCGATCTTCTGAGTCTATTTTACTTTGCACAACCTATGCTTGGGTTTACATATTTGAAGTTGTAACATTGATTCCTCATGTCACCAATTGCTTCTTTGTAAATAGTAATTTTAAAAATGGCTAAAATGTATCCTGAGTTTCTCGAGTGCCATGGGTCCATATCTTTGGACAATTTTGATTATGGAATTCTCATGTGTTTGATCAAATACCACCTGGAACTGGGCTTTGGAGGTGACAGAAAAGCCACCAACCAAATCTATTATGCTAAATTCCTAGGCTGTTCAGTGGCTAACATGTAGTAGTCACTAACTGAAAAGGAAACATGCATAATAAGTTAATAACCATCCAGGAGCAAAATGGCTAAATCAACTTGTACTTACAGTAACACGCTGGATCAAGTATAACAGGCTCTCCGTTCTTGTCAGAGCTAATATTCCCACTCCATAAGTCTCCATGCAACAGGCATGGCTCTATCAAAACATCTTCAAAAAGCGGTCCCATATTCTTCATCAGTCTTTGCCCTGTTAGTAATCACAAACCAGATAAATAATGAACCAATTATGTCATTTCCAAGAATAATAGTAGGTGGATATATCTTAGAAACAAAAATGTCCTACAATTGCACATCACTAATCTCTGTCTAAATGGGCTTGTCAAGCTTTAAAATCCCATGACAACGGTCATTAGGCTAATATAATCCAAAAGCAAGATTTTGGTCGCTGATAGTTGATAGCTTAGAAATCAAGCTAGGGAGAATGTAACCATAATATTTTCAATGCTGCGATAAATGAAATACGCAAATAGAACATCAGCAGAAATCACTAATAACAGATAAGTACATCTAACTCTACATCAAATATTAATGCATAGGGCAGTTAATTTAATTGGTTTGGTCATCAAAAAGTTGAGTACCGCAAGTATGATACAGGATAAAATCTATTTGCCCACCATAATGTTGTAACAAGTAGAAGACGACCTCTTTCATATATGGTTGAATCACCATACTGTTTGCGTGCCAACTTCAGTTGATAACCCAATCTATGCTCCCCATAAAATTGAATCCAATCTGATGTCCAAGTGTTTATCTGTGGAGTACTACACAAAAATATATGGATTCATTCAAATTCAAGGAAGCATTTCCACTCATTATTATAAGCATAGAATTAGTAACTTATTGAAAATTTCTTCTTAGTGAGCTTGGCAAATGGATGACAAACATGGGGATAAGGATCGGCCATTAAAAGGACAAGGTCAAAAGTTATTCAAGATGTTTCTTGCATTCAAGATCTGTTAGTGCGCCGTAGGTGAGTAGGTGCATATGCATGTGTGTGTTGGATTCAGGATAAGAAACATGGGTATCAATGCTCAACCATTAAAATGACAAGTTTGAAAGTTATTCAAACGATTCTTGCATTCAACATATGTTGGTGCGTTGTAGATGAGTAGGTGCATGTGCATGTGTGTGTGTATGCATGTGTGTGTGTGTGCATGTGTGAGAGAAATGATATTGATGATAATGATCAAGAGGTGAGACATGTACCTGCCAATAGTATTGTCAACATAAAAACCAAAACCTTTTTCAGATTTCCCCGCTTTATGCATTTCAGCAAGCTTCCTTCCTAATGCAGACTGAGGACTGGTGAATGGTCAAGGAACTGATAGATAATTGTTAACTCCCGCATCAGGCTACAAAAAAAATAATCTCCCACCTGGTTGCCTCTAGAAGAGCCAAATTCAATAAATTCCATAATTATATATGAACCACCCGTTGGCAGGACTCCAACCTTTTGTGAATAGAAGGAATTGTTAGGTTTTAAAGTTAAGCACCTGCATAGGCAGACTTAAAAGTTGATATGAATTTCTTTGCTCAAAAGCTCCCTCACCTTAAATGGTTTAGGCACACGGATTGATCCAGTTTTGTACATTGCATCTAAACCCAAAGCCTCTCCCTCAAACATTGATGGTCCAATACTCCTGTTCCAGTTTCAACAGCATCAGATGAAGCAAGGATCATAACAGTAATTATTTTACATGACATTCTATTATTCCCCATCAACAAGTCATCCTATAAGAAAGATCCCTCACAACTTGAACATCATACTAAATGTAATACTAGGGGTGAAAAGCAAATAAAACAACAAATCAGACTATATTCAGAAGTAACTCAGCAATTGTTTGTATACCCAAGCACCAAATTAAATCATCCAGCTGCTGAAGAACACCACACCTGTTTGTTTTAACAAAAAAGGAGCCAGCATCAGTGTCATAACGATTGGAAAGATTGATGCAACCACCACCAATGGAACTAATCCTTGTAATCTGTGTTGCCTTTCCTTCTGATAGAACCCATTCACGGATTGGATCATCATGCATTGTAGCCACTGTTATAAAACCATAACATCATGAAAAATTAAAAACTATTCAATAAAAACCCCATAAAATGTAAACTTCCCGTGTGTGGCCGTTAATCAACATACTAAAGTGTCATTATTATTATTATTATTATTTTTTTTTAAAAACTATTGAAATTTGATTATCCAGTACAGGAAATCAGCAAATAAAATAAGGCTATAGACCAGGGATGGTTCATCCCCAGAATTCATGAATTGAAACTTTTTTCACTGATGTACAATATATATGTGTACCCATCAGTCAATTTGAATGGAGAATAATCTACACAAGGGGAGACAGGGGAGAGTGACCAATAAGAGAAACTTCATGATACAAGTAGACCACGAAAGAAGCTGTCAAGAACATCAAAACAGTGACTAACAGTTAATTCGACTCCATCACTGTTCAAATTATCAAACAACATTCACTGGAAAAGGAAAATTGCACCAAATTCCAAATAATAAACAAAGAATACTTGCAAGAAAGACGAAGCGTACATCTATTTCATGCCAAAAGCTGTTTCCTTATATTCACCAATTTCATTAACGAAATCAACAAAATTGGTCTCAAAAGAACATGAAACAGTTGGTGGGTCGAAAACTATTCAGCTCATAAAATGTTTTCTCAAGCAAGAACAAAATTTTAGTACTTATAGCTCACAATCTACTAAAGAAAGTGTGTAGAGTTCGTCCTTACTAGCCAATGGTTTGGGTTTGATGAAGGAGAATCGACGAGGCCGAGACATACAAGCAATGGAGGATGATAAGGAGGTGATTCCCACGTGTGCCACCATTCTCTCTCTCTCCTCGCTCTCTCTGAAACCTTCTAGTCGCTCCGTCAGACAAACAGACCACTCGTTGCCCGTGTGAGCTCGGGTTCGCACTTCGGACCTTATTGGATTTTACTTTTGGATATGGGCCATAGTACCAACTTTAATACCACATCGATATACTATAAATAATTTTGTGCTATGTAATAATAAAAATATAAAAATTATAAAAATTAAAGAAAACGGAAAAAAATAAGAGACAAGTAAGGAAGGGAGAGAGAGGAATGTGATGATTAATTGGATTATTTGATATTGGAGAGAGTATAAGTTGAATTATTTGACATTGAAAGCCGTTTAAAAATATTGATATATTTGAGTAAAAAAATAAATTTGAGATGAATTTTATATTATTAAATCAAAGTATATAAAAATTGAATCAATCTTGATTGTTATTATATTTTTATAAGTTAAAGAGTTCAAGTTACTAACGGTAATATTAGCTATATTTTTATCCACATTACAACTTTAGTTTCATTGACTTGTAGTTTACTTTTAAAAATAAAAAAAATATATAAATAAGTATTAAAGGAATTTTAAGTGATAATTTTCATTACTATTAAATAAAAAGTGAAGGAAAAGTATTATTTAAATTATTTATTTACTTTCATTAGATTGACTAATTAGAGGTAGCACTAAAAGAAATTAGACATTTAACCACAAAAATTGTTGCGGCTAAAGTTTTAAAAGCTACAATCTTGCCACTAAAAATCCTATTTTCTTGTGGTGTAGGGTGTCCAGTGCAGAACACGTTTTTATTTTTATTTTTTTTATCATGGTTAAAATGTTAAATATAAATTAATTGAGTTATTGTGTACAATTGTTCAATTGCACACCTATATCAAATGATTATAAACTTTTGAACACATTTTGGACATATACTTATGTATCCGTCTTGATAAATTTTGAATATATAATAGAATAATTTTATAATTTCTAAAATATTATGGGATTATTTTGTTATCATATAAAATTAGGGTCTTTGTGCAATAAAAAAAAATCCTTTTGTAAGTAGATACTGAATCAAAGTCACAAATTGAAATTATTATTTAGAGTTAGAAAAAAACTTGATATAAATATGTTTGTCTAATAACCTTACTTTAATAAGATCGAAACATATGACTAAGAGATACAGAAAGAGAGAAACTGAGAAAGGAGAAAAAACGATTAACAACTGTGTGACCTTTAACGAGTGCGCGGAGTGACTATTATATAATCCAGGGAGATAAGATTTATCTTTATTTGAACAATTGATGACAACTCTATTAGGTAATTCATGACACTTTTTGATCTAATATTGAATTTTTGATTCTAGTAGGACTTGGTGATCTTGTTCAGGAAAATGATCAAGACAAGAAAAGACATAATATATCTATTAATTTACTTGTAATTTTGATACATATGTTGTTAATTACGACATACATTATAGAGTTTAATTGAATGAATGAGCTAATTGATATCATGATTGTCTATATATAGAGAATCATAAAGTTATTAGAGCATCTTTAAGCATGACTCAAATTTAAGTTTAAATTTGGGTAAAAAACTTGATTTGGTATAGAATACTCTAATGGGCAAACTCATACATCTACTTAAATTTTTAAAAAATTTCTTTATTATCTCAAAACTCAATTTTTATATCATTCAAATCATGAAATTTGATAAAATAAATGAAATTTTCATATCTCTCCATAAATGGGTTATTTGAAAAAAAAATCAAATATGGATACAACACCTCCTGAGAATAAAAAGAAATAGAAAAAATAAAAGAAAATCACCCCCAACATTTTCAGATTGTTCTAATCTATTATTTTTTTCTTTAAATTCAGATAAAAAATATTATTTAATTTGATATTGATCTAGTTTGAAGAACACAAAAAACATATTATTTTCAACAAAAATTGATAATTGAAGAAATAATATGACAAATTTTCTAAATTTGTGGGTAGTGAAGACTTGTCGGAGACTTACAATTGCACTACCGACAATATTTAACTCAAAAAAATTAAAGAAAAATTTGATGGGTAAGTTTATGGTTTATATAGTATAAAAGATTGATGAGATTAAGGTTTTAAAATATACAAGAAATTAAGAAGAAAGACGATGAAAATGAAGAAACTTATCTTTAGGTTTTTAAAGGATTTGTGAATGTTTCGGTGGAGGTCCACGATGGAAATAGCGTAAAAGATAGAAAGAAGAAGAGACAGAGAATAAGTTATCGAACAAATCTTTTGGCTTTGGATAAAATAAAAAATTATCCTTGTAAATTTGGTATAGAATTTGAGTCTCTTTTAATTTAGGTCCATAATAAGTTTTTTGTTTAAGTCCAATGTTGAAGAAGATTTTTAAACCGTTTAGACTCAAATTTAAATTTGAGTCAGAGTTGAAAATACTCTTATGCAACACTTTTAAACTATGAAAATTTATTGAGATCAATTGTAAATAGTTTTAATACCTATGTTTTGTTAAAAAAATCTTTTTTTTTGGTCATATTTATATATATTATGCTTCCCAATTTTTGAACTTTTGGGTTTAATGAATTTTTATGTATTAAATAAGAAGTAATTATAAGTATAAATATATTATTCAATTTTTATCGATAGTAGATAAACAAAATTAAAGTTATTACAATGTCCCCAATGCCGACCCACAAATAATTTTTTGGCTCCGCTCCTAACTCAATTCATTAGTACGTCAGCTCCACACAAGTAACAATTTTGTTTCCTTTTTAAGTAGAAATGTATATTTGCATTCTCAACATTGATTATGAAGAAATAACATGTTATGTTTTTTTAATCAAAATACAGTGTAAGGATGAAGAATATATCCCACAATATTATTAGCCTGACAAATTAATGATCAATGACCAGAGGATCCGTTTGAAAGGGGATAGTGTGTGTAGTGTTGCAAATGGTTTGGAACATTAGGCCAACAAGCGAAAAATCGTCATGGATTTTAATCATCCTCTTATAATTTGAATTGCATGTAGAAACTTTTGAAAATATTAAAAAAAAAATCATTAATTTTTTCACGTTCTTTCTTAGTTTGGAGTACTATCATAGTATAAAAACCAAATACTAGGTACATGTGTTAAACATATTTGTTTCAAGATGTTGGTAGGATTATACTTCCTCTTCTGATTTTTTAGTTCTTTCTGCAGTTTGGTTGGCTTTCTTGACTTCCAGATGGTATGGAACTTGGGGTTGAATAGATGACACAGGTCATTTTGAACCCAGGTCTCAATTATAATTTTTCAATAAACTAAACATACTCTTAATTCTTCACATGCATGTCTATTTTGTCGAGCCTCTTATCAAGACAGTGTTTCACTCATTAAGCTCTAATTGAAGTAGAGGTAAACTTACAACAAACATAACCCCAATTAAAAGAAGAAAAAAAGATTACGATACCGAAAAATTACTTTACAATATCGGGCCACAAAAATATTACTCAAAGAATCAAGTTATACTTCAACAAGAAGCAAAATTTTGAAAAGTTGATCAATGAGGTCCAAGGACCAGTCTCTTTTAATCGTATAGGATTGAATTAATATTTTTGATACTTTATGTTGATCTTGACAGTGACCGAGTCATTGTTTTAACAATGATATTATCGAAGTATAAAAGAGAAAAGGTAATAATCAATTTAGGTATTAATTTATATAAATTGATGTGGTAAAAAATAATACTAAGGTGGGCATATATCTACATCTATGCTAAAGTTTTTTGTAATGTATATAAGATATGTTAACCAAAAAAAATGCATCCCCCGGGGCGGGTCTAATTCTGGCTCCGCCGTTGGTTGTTAACATGTATCGAATATTTAAATTCTCAAAAAATAGATTAAAAAAAAATCATGCAACATGATTTATTTTAATCAAGCAGCATATAATTTTTATAGGCTGGCTGAATAAATAAATTATAAAGAAAGGACCGGTTAAAATATTAGTATTTTGGGTACGTAAGTGGAAAACCATAGAAAAGTTAGAGGTCAAAAATCCAATTTTTTAATCTTGGGGTCATCCGCAATTCATCGGCTTGAAACATTATGCATAACTCAATTAATTTTTTTTTTTTTTGATTTGATTAAATACAAACAATCCACGTCAAAACTATGATGTTGGTGTTGGTGTTGATACTTGTCCTAGAATTAGATTAGAAGACATTTTTTTAAAATTTTTAATTTTTAATTATAATACATATTTTTTACTTCTTTGGATCAATTTGATATAGTTAAGGGTAAATTAGATAATTAGAAAAATTTTCTTGCAATTTTCCCTTTTTTTCAAACAATAGAATGACTTTTTTTTAAAAACTTTCTCACAAATTTTTCATGCTAACCAAATATATACATGAGAATATATTTTCTTTTATTTTTTTTTCTTTTACTTCACTTTCCATCATTTTTATTTTACATCATTCTTTTCTTTCTAATCAAATAGACCCTTCGAGAAAATGACTTTTTTTGACGAAGTGTTTCACTTTTTTTTCAACTTGCATGTGAGTCACTGGACTTGCATCTTTAAATTTTTATTTTTTTGTCAGGAAATAAAATTGTATTAGAAAGCTAAACTGAGGGTCATCACAAGGATGTATTACATCAAGACACTCATCCTATCCCTACTTTTGCCTCCCTGCTCAAGACTCTCCTGATCTGGGGTGGTAGCTCTTCCACCCAACTGTTAGGTAGTATTCCAACTCTTGCCTGTGTAGCTGCACTATGTGTGTTATGTATCTCAATAAAGTTTGAGTAAATTATTGTTTGGTCATATTTTATGTCTAGTTTTAATTACCAATAAAGAGTTAAGATGTCTCATGTGAGCCAATCGGGAGAATGTTAGCACGTCTCCATTAGGAGACTTGAGGTGATCCACATATCACATTGACTTTTATGATAATATTATATTTATAAATTAATACAGATAATTTTGAGTCAAAATTTGGTAATTGAGTTTATGTCAATCTATCTATTATAAGATTGTGATTATAAGATTAATTTCAGAGTCCTTGATAAAAAGAACTTGATAAGGTCAATATATCCAAATGATAAAGATTGAGATCCCTAACTTGCCTATAAATAAAGACCCGTGAATGCCATCAAAAATTCAGTCTATTCTGAATTTAGGCCAAGTTGAAAACCTTTTTTCCACACCTCCATAATGTATTAGTAAGAGTGCTTAGTTTTTCTTTTGAGTGTTTGATCAACAATGTTCGTGATTCAGAATTTAAGGTTACAAGATTTAAATGACATAGTGTGAGGTAAGTATTCTATTCCGCTGCGATATGTAATTCTCCATTTAGGTCTCACATTTAAGACATAATATTCATTCAATACCAAAATGATTTATCTCATTAAAATCAAGTTAGTTCTTGTGTCATACTATCATTCATATTAGAAGGTCATATCATTTCGAATAGGACTACTAAAAAATCAATCCTACTATATTTCTATTCATTAATCGACAAAATTTTCTCAAAATACATCACTTTAAGAAAATATCAATTTGTGTACGTTAACGTCTATAAACAATCCTTGAAATAAAAATTGCATTGAACCACAAATCAATCAAAAATTAAATGATTCAACTCGCGATAGAAATAAGTGTTGTAATAGAAATAGACAAGAAAAACATATGAGGACAAAATACAAAATACCAACTATCTTATTATACAGATTGCTTTTCCCATGTGAAATCAGCATAATAATCACTCAGATTAATGTCACTAACTTGTCGGTGAATTCCTCAAAATAATATATCAATCGCGGATGTGTATCTGACATTCCGAATGATCCTTCAAATACGAAGATTGTCGAGTAAAATGGGCATCCAGCTTCAGGGTGTCTTGGACTTCTGTGGTGAAGGAAGCAACTGCAGGACAGGACAAAAGAAATCACACTGACAGAAAAGTAGGCAACTTTGAAGCATGCTAGTCATGAGCAAAACTCTAACCCCTCCTCAGGCTCCCCAGACCCCATTATGTATAGAGAGACAAAAAAAAAGGGTCATTAACATTAAAAGGCTGACTGAAAAATCATCTATAGTCAAGAAAAAAAAGCTCAATCCCTCCTTTAACCTCGGGATGATACAAAAACCAAAACCCATAGCCAGAAAAATAGTTGGACACCTAAACACCAATAGTCAAGAAAGCAAAATGCATAAACCCTCCCCTACCCACAATCGGACATGCAGAAAAAGTGACACTCTGAACCATAGGCATAAACCCCTCCCCAGGCCGCCCCACTCCCATTACGAGCAACCAAGATCTTAGTTATAAGTATAGAACAATAGATTTCAGAAAGTAATCATGCATATCAAGTAGAATATAACGGTCCTTGCTCTTTGTTTTACTTATCTTGAATAACTAAAATTTAAAAAAAAAAATCATTTTTAAAAGGCATGACTGGCTTAATAAATTTTTATGTTCAAAATCTAATGTTTCTTTTACTAATTAAAAATTTTAAACAGGGAAGTTATAGATGCAACGGTGCAATTGAAATGGATGGGGTTATGAATATACATCATGGCGGTAGGAATTTATGGGCACCTGATAACAAGAGATGAGAGAGCTAACAAATCCAAAGGCTCCTGTTACACGGGGAGTGACTTTCTTGGGTGCCAGTTGAAGCAACCCAACCGAAACCACAATATCCATGGCTGCTTTAATCAGGGCTAGAGACCTCTGATTTGACTTTTGAAGTTTATTACAGTTTTGCTCATTCTGCAATCATAAATGCACCGATAACATAAAAGAAAAGATGAGAGACTGCCATGATAGCAAAGTACATTAAGTGTAAGCTGCAAAATTATTAGACGTTCAAGCTGCCAGCACAGACAGACCTTATACTTATCAGTACCCTTAAGATCCTTTTCTAACTTCTTCATTGATGCAGACAGCCTTCCAAGCTCCCCGATCTTAAGTAAGAAACATGTGCATCACATTAGACAACCATATATTACTTAGGAAAATTGAAATCTGACAAAAAAGACAATAGCCAAATGGCTGATGTTGAACAAAAAAGGAAAGTAACAAACCTCAACCAACATAGTACAGATTGAGGAGCCCATCCAGCAGAAAAGAGATATCCTGCCAACTACCTCTGTGCGGTCTTTGTTCTGTGTAAAACCAACAATCATTTAAGTACCTTCTGCTGAAATTTCTCGATGAAATCAACCACAGATACGAGGCTGTATAAGATTTTATCTCTATACCTTATATATGCCTGTCCTATTGAGCCAGACTATTTGATCGAGAAACAAGAAAGTTGACAGCAATGCATTTTTGGACTGAAACAAGATTGTCATCAGAAAGTTGAGAAGAAATCCAAAGTTCAATAAAAACATTTGGAGAGCAGGCAGCCTTTTACCTTTCCCAGCAAAGCAAGTAGAAGCGGAGTTCCATCTGGAACTGGACTAATAAGAGTATGCAGATCATTGACAAACTGAACACAAAATGAAACATAAAACCTAGTCAAAAAATTAAAGGGAAAAAGAACCTACAAAACAAGTTCAAAATTAGAGTGCTTTTTGCAGACATCTCTCAGGAAAATCTTCATCCAACTAATTGGCACTAGAGGTTTCGGTATTGATTTCACAGCGTACATAACAGAATGGAGTATGCTAGATGCCCATTCAAACAAATGCGGCCATCCAGGCAAAACACAAAGACAGAAAATTTTGAGACAAATAGACCAGGTGAATTGACATCATCCACAGTTACTATTCACAATTTACAACCAAATCCAACCTTAAAAAGACGGAACACTTTCCGTGCCAAGCTAGTTGATTTATCCACATTTTGGGCTGTGCCAGGTTCTCCATTACTTAAATATTTTGAACCATATTGTATCGCCCTGCATATCTTGTCCCTGGCTTCAGCTTTGTTCAAATAAAGAACCACAAGAGCAAGTTCTGCTCTGGTTGCATCTAGTGTGCTCATATTTTTACCCTAACAGCACCTGCAGAGTCAAGATATTAGCTGATCCACTTAACTAAACTAAAATAAGCAGAAAATAACATGATAAGTGTGCAAAATCTCATTCAACATGTAAGCACACAATAAAGCTGATTAGCTTTGCTTAAAGACTAAGAAACATGAAGATCCTAGTTTTCAGTTGACATGTTACTAGATGTATCTCTACCAAATCCAACGTCAATTGCCAAAGGCCATTGCGAAGTTTGATCGCTCTGAGAAGTAGGCTAAGTACAAGTCTAGTCTTTGGTATTATTTTGCCTTCAGTTGAAACCCACCACATTATGATTGTAAATCTGAACATTTTATGATGACACCAGGCAAACGCTACCAAAGGCATACCAAAGTATAAATGAAACTAGACTTATTATGCTTTACTGGGATCGTAACGTAATTCTCTCCAATACTGCAAGGAATCATGCACAAGCATGACCAGAACACAGCAGTTATTATTAGCATTTGTGATCAACAATTACATACCAATTTGATTTCATCTGAAAAATCAATCCTGTGAGATTCAAAAATACTGCTTTTACTAAGCACATTACAATGCAGACAGGGGTTGCAGAAGTGCCAACAGAGGGCTCGCTTGTAAGCAACCATAATCAACCTGTAATGAGTTACCTAGCATGAATATAAACACAAACACAGATAAAATCCCAGTTTCTTGTTTAAAGTCTTGACTTTGCAATTTCAGAGCAGACAAATCCGAAAGGCACCCACAGACAATCATGGATGAACTTCTTCTACAAAATCTGAAGCAGCTCTTTAAGGTACTATAATCTATACTCAACAGCACTTAACCAAATCCCCCAAATAACGTAAGGCAGTAAACAAACATTAACTTAAGGCATTAACATGAACATAAATACAATCAAAACCATAATCTACATGCTTTTTGTGTGTATGAAGCTTAGCACAAACCCTGCTTCACAATAATTAAGACCCATAAAAAAAAGACAAAAAAAAAAAAAACATTCATTCAGTTTAGCTGAATACAGCTATTTGGCTTTGTCTGAGTTAAATTGAGTTCATATTTTCAGAAACACTAACTAGTAGCAATCACACGACCCAAATCTCATATTCCTTTGATCCAGTTTCCTGCAAAACCAAAACGAAAGTTTCTTACAATAACCAAAACAGAAACTTCAAAAAAATAAAAATGGATAAGCCAAGCAATTTGCAGGTTATTTTCTGTGTGTTTCTTTAAAAAAAAAAACGTATATAACCTAATCACAACAACTAATAACTCTTCAAGCCAAAAATCATTTCAAATCATACAGTGAAAACCTAAATCAAATAACGCAGAAGAACCGGAAAATAATAACCCAATACAGGTGAAAATAATAACAGATTCAACACCCATAACCACTTTGTGTACCTGAAGTAGAATTCAAAAACCCCAAAAAAAGGAAAGGAATTACTGTTCCTGAAATTTTTGAATAGTACAAGTGCTTTGTTACATATCTGGAGAGAGAAAGAGGTGTTTACCGGGCGGAGTGCCGGATGTTTTGCCTCGAAATTCACACACACTCTCCCATTCCTCCCCCTCGCCCATACTTTTAGATGAGGAAAAATTATATTTTTGACCTCTTAATTGTGTCTGTTATCCCTTATTAACCCATCAATTTTAAATATTTTCATATTTACCTTCAAAAATTGGTGATGGACATGTGAGTCTTACATGCAGCAAATGATGTTTCTGAACATGCTCTGATTCAGTGGTGTTTCTGAACAAGGTCTGATTCCATGGTGTTCCAATCACGATGAGGCTTCAATTCGAGGTTTGCAGTACCCAATAAATTCAAAACATATGTTCACATTATAGAATGAAGATTGATAAGAATTATCAATTGACATGATGATTGGATCCAACAGAACCTACCATAATTGGTATGGACAACAATGCCACGACATTAACTAGTGTTGTGGCAAGCGCACTAGGGGTGGTATAGGGCACTCTAGTGCCACAACACGTACCATCACCGCAAATGGTGAGACACATTCTCATTACATTGGCACCACAAAGGTTTGGGGTAACCTTGGCATGACTCACCTCTCCCACTGCAAAACAACACATGAGACTAGGATTGCACAATTGACAAAAATTGATATCATTAACTCACTGGACATTATTGCTCAACTGACCCACTGGACTAAGAGGAGGGGCCCCCACCTAAGAATATGGTAGTATGACCCTCCTAGAAGGAGAACTAAACAACGAGAATGGACGAGCATGATTGTTAACCTCACCCTGGGATAAGATCTCGAAAGTTTAGTCTATTCGAGTAAGCCTCCCAGTGTATGATCCACTGGGATGTGTTAGACCGGAATCCAAGGAATTCTTAAGGTAATTGGGGTTATTGGTCCAAATTAATATATTAGATAATGAGACATGTGAATTGGTAGCTAAATGATCGAAATTATGTGGGTTTCTTTTATCGGACACCTTGACAAAGTCTTGAGGAAAGATTCAAAGAGAGTAAGGAGGACCCTGGGTAGGAGCATACTGGGCATCGCACACATAACTTTCTCGAGGTCATGGTCTCATGATAACTAGTCGCAATCATTAACCTTTGGAGTCTGCTTTTGTCTTGGTTATCGCACCCTTCCCGGGGCCGCATCCAAACTATGTTTGTGAAAACGTCACATCTGTCTAAATTAATGTTGAGACACGTGACTCAAGATTAGTGGCCATTGGAATCATTGCGGTTTTGACAGTTATGGATTGACACAAATGTCAAAAGGTTGCGACAGGCAACCCTTCGGGTAGCACAACCTGCCCTAACACTATGTTACAAATACTCATATTATTTATCCATTGTGTAGAAGGATTGGTTGGTGAGAGCATTTTACTTCACCTACCCTCTATTCAATTAATTGGTCCTTTTGTTAACAGACTATTTGAGTTCCTTTTATTGCATTCGCTTATTCTATTTATTTCCTTCGATTACTCTTGACATAAACACGTATGTCAACATTTTTTAACTCCCTACCTACAAGGTTGGAGTAAGATTTTTAACTATAATGATCAGCATAAGCTAACATTAGTGATCCATCATGATAAGTACCCGGCAACATTCTCATTCATTGTTGTAGCATTCCTATTGGAATCCTATAAATTTAAGTGAGGAGGATTCATCTCTAACTTTGTGATGACATGCTTCTCAAGACTGTTGCTCAACGGAGTACGACTGACAATAATACAAGACCATGTATCGAAAAGCTGCTGCCTAATAAAATGTAAATTTTATAGACAAGACCAAATCGTACCCATTAAATTTTGACATTAGTTTTTGTTAGCATCTTGACGACAAGGCGACCTGATTAAATCAGAAATCCACATCAAATCAGCAATAGCTTAAACGCATTGGACGCAATAAAGGTTGCTAATTTCATGTTTGAACTTTTTATCAGGTGCTTTCTTATCATTCCATCATATATTATTTGATCAATCACTAGTATATCCAGTGCTGTCTGGTTCATTTGCTTGATACTGAGGGATGATTAAAAGCTATGCTACCAAACTTAAGATTCCTCGAAAGAAGTGCAAGCACGGGCTTTTCATGACATAAAAACCAAGGATTAAGTGGCTCTCAATCTTTCAATTAAACTGTTAGTAATACTTATGGTGGTTAATGTATCCGAGGGCGAAGCCAGAATTCTATCCGAGAGGGGGCCAAGAAGATGAATGAAAAAGTAATTAATTGAGATAACAAAAATTTGGATATTAATTAATAAGGAGTAAATTGGGTATTATATTTATATAAGTAGAACACAATAACATTGTATTAAATTTCAAGAATCGACTATTATTGTTCAGTTTCATGACATTAAATTTTCAATAGTTTTCTTTTAATGTAATTGAGAAATTGATCTTTTGGAATAACTTAAATTGATCTTTCGTGTTAGTATATTTTATTAGTTGTATTAATTTGTGTTATACTAACTTATGAGCCAACAATCTATTAAAAAAAAAAAAAGAATGATAGACAATTATACAACTATTTTTAAAGAATAAGAGGAAGGATATTAAATAATAAAGGTGTCATCTTCTGTTAATATATGAGTTAGGGTGTTTTACATTTGATTTATTAATTAGTCTAAAAATAAAATATTTATTTCAGTAAATTAGAGTTCAATGTACCACTAACTTACCAAAAAGAAAATAGACTAAGACCATTATGCAAATTTTCAAAGACTTAAGAGGGGGCAATGTAATAAATTAAATATAATTTATTTTTCTGATACAATAAATATGTAATATTTCTTCAAAATTGAGCAATGACCCAAGTAGCTCCGCCCGGAATGTATCTAATTGGGACGAGTGGAACGAAGGGATAAAAACTTGCTTTACAGGGAATAGAAGTGAACAGTGGGGCTAAGGACATCCCAATTGCTGATATCCCTGTATGAAGATCCGTATCTTCAATGATCTCATTTCAAATTTTCCAAATCTTGGTGGGGCAAGCACAACGGAACATAAAGACAATCTTTTTCAATTCTTTTAACAAAATCTCCAGCAGATAAAGAAAGTTTCGGTTGAATTCTAAATTTACAGGATTAGGGTGTGTTTGGTTGCTTAGAGTATCACAGGAAAAAACAAAAGAAAAAATAATAGGATATGAGCGGGACATCAAACTTGTTGCCAAGTTTAGTCAGCAAAATGCAGTCTCCCATTAATCAGGCTATGATGATGCGTCATAAAAAACAAAACAAAAAAAAGGAAGTTTTGTTCGGGTTAGCCCGGGGTATAATGGGTATTGGGAGGGTAGATTAGGTATAGATCAAACCTTTAAGTGATTATAAGTGTAATAATCACTTGGAACCTTTAGTGAACGAATTTATAATCACTTGGAACCTTTAGTATAATAAAGTTCGATTAGTGATCACTAAAGGTTTGAAGTGAGATGTAATAAGTGTAATAAGATAAATCCAACATTTTGCGCTTTCTCTCTCTCTCTCTCTACATGTTGATCATTTTAATTAACTTTATATCACTACTCAAAAACAGTAACATTATACTCATTAGCTTCTCATCTTTAGCACAGAAGCTTTATGTGTGGCAAACATTATACATGGAGATTCACTCAAGGGCCATTAGTTCCAAAACATTAATTTCACCGTATTAGTTACCTCCATTAAATGAAGATTCATTAAAGGTTGGAGGAACAAGCACAGAAGAAGAAACCTTGAACCTCTTGCTCCTCGAAACTTCACTCCCACCACTAATACTCACCTCTGGACTACTCACCCACCCCATCATTTGATCCCCATACCCTTGTTGATAGCTAAAATAAACTTCTCCGGACTCCGATCCATCGGAATCCACCCCATGTTGCCGGAATCCGATCCACTCACCGCTACAATCCGACACACTTGAGCTCTCCCAAGAAGAAGCTAGCTCATCAGTCACAGTCACAGGAGGCACAATTATGCTTGGTTGCACCACCTTCTCGATGTTCTTAATATCAGCTGGACTTTGGTACTGATAGTTATTACCCCTATGAAAAATACTAGCAAAAGTGAAGTGGTCACTTACCCTTCTTTTAGAAGCCCTATTTTCGGAACTCCTAGCCATGATACTCTGCAAATTCTTACTTAACTTGGCTTTCAAGGAAGAGAAGCTGAGGCCATGGCGGCCCTCGGATTCAGAAACAAACCCACCGTTACAAGGGGACGAGGACGAATTACTAAGGTTTGGATTCACTGCAGCAGCAAAGTTGGTCCGAGCATTTTCGCCACGAAGGGCTCGGGCTGCTTCGTCGTAGGCTCGGGCAGCTTCTTCAGGTGTGTCATAAGTTCCTAGCCATAGTCTTACACGCTGTGATGAGTCCTTGATCTCAGCAACCCATCTTCCTGAAGGCCTTTGTCTGACACCGACGAATCGACGGACTGTTGATTTGATTGGTTGTGCGAGGATGGTTGCGGTGGTGGTGGTAGCAGCGATGACAGTTTTTGTGGTTTCAGATCCCGCCATGAAAATGAAACTTTCAAAGAAATTTGTATTGAGTTGTGATTAGGGTTTTTTTAAGTTTGAGCACTTGCATGTGGAGGAATCCACAAGTAGATCTGGCAGTATAAATAGGGTTTTTATAAAAATTACCACATGACCCAAAAAAAAAAAAATCAATTGGAGCTATAGTACATGCTCTTGTCAATTATTTGTTGTCTTTTTCTGATTAATTTTAATGCTCGATCGTGTACACTATGTACTTGCAAACTCTATTGGCTTGGCTTGATCGGAAATATGTAACTATTGAAAGGACTTATGATACTCCTAATTAATACATGAGTAATGGTAGACTAAGTCAAAACACCAGTGCTCCGTTTGGTATGATGAAAAAATAGAAGGATGAAAAGTTGAAAAGATGAAAAATTAGAGGGATAAATAAAACATCATGTTTGATAAGGAAGAAAAATGTGATGGACGAAAAAATGAATGGATTAATTTTCCTTCTAATTCACTAAAATTAACTTTCCAAAATCGAAAGACAAATGAATGGAAAGTTAATTATTTATGTTGAGATATATCTTATTTGTCTATATATTATCTATACATTAATTTCATATAAAAATACAATGATATATATATACTAGCAATACCCCGCGACTGAAGTCATTAAATATTAAATTATGACACTATGCATGTATTGGAGTGTGTGTGTACAGCTTGAGTGTATATATAATGTTTGTGTGTGTATGTGTAGTGAGTGTGTACTAGAGTATGTGTAGCTATGTGCTGTGGAATATTTGTGTTGGGTTTGTGAAATTTGGGGGGAATAATATAGCTCCTATAAGTTCAAACACCTACTTATATATATATTAAATAAATTTAAAATTAAAAAATAAAATTAAAAAAATATTTTTTTCATCTTAATTAGAAGTGAAAATTTTTGACTCAACATGATGACACGACTCGAACTCGACACAAATTTTATAACACAAACTTGATCATAACTCTACACGAACTTGAAAATGACCTGACACACAAACAAAAAATATAAAAGGCTCATAATTTTATGATTCAACATGAATCTGACAAGACACGACTTGATTATCACCTCTAATCTAAGCCAACACAAAAAAAATTTAAAAAAAAATAGTTATTTTTATTTTTCATCTATCCAACCAAGTACAAAGGAAGGAAAGTGTATCATTCCTACTTTTCTTTTTTGAAGGATAAAAAATATATCATTCTTACTTTTCATCCTCCCTACTTGTCATCCTGTCTCCCAAACGGAGCATAAGGGTCCTTAATTTTAGTTCTATATATGGGATCGGAATCCCCATAGATAACCTACATAAGTAGGATCAAGTTCTACACAATCGATTGCACGTGAATTTATGGTGGTTAATGTACTTTAGAAGAAAAAGAAAAAATATTGTGAATTGTATTTGGATCCCTATCTTTGGATTGATTTTTTCAACATGGATGTTGGGGTTTCTTCAAATCAATTTGCATCCATGCCATCATTTTTCTTGCTAGTCTCTTGGAAGTAAGGTTGAAGAGGCAACCACATGGATATAACATAGTGGTATGATAACCACAAACTCTAACTTTTTAAATTCAGCCACAATAGTGTATTCCGGATTTAATTGAATTTGGAGCTAGCGAGGAAGTTCATGTATCTAGACCCTAGAGTTTCCTTTCCTGATATGAATCTAATATGACCTTATTTTAGAGAGATTCTTCGTAACCAAAAAAAAAAAGGTTGAACAGTAGGCTCGATAAAATTTAACTCACTTTGATTATCTGACACAAATCGACCCATTTACGACACCATTATCCGGTTATCACCCACCGATTACTCATTTAATAGATTCAACAATTTGTTACAAAATTAACATTTTTAATTAAGAATTTTTTGTACTATAAAATTAGCAAGTATCACGAGTCATATAATATAAACTTTAATAAACGAATTATGTTACCTTTTGCAATTTATACCCGTTTAAATAAATGAATTGTATACAAATTGATTGACTTTCGACACAAATCGATACAACTTGACCCGATTATCAAACATATTGAATAGACAAATCAAATAGGCTTATTGGGATGCCAAACCACCATTAGCCAGCTTGAAAGTTGGCTAATCCAGCCGAACTGGTTAAGCAAAGGATCAAATTATACAGAGAATCAGACAAGAGAAAGCTGTTCCGAGCTTTGTCAGCTTGTAAATGATTAACGGTTTTGGAACGTTGGATTAAGAATATTAAAATCCGGCGGGAAAGCTTAGTTTAATTTATAGTGACGTGGAGGTATCCCACTGGATTTTTGCATCTGCAAATGGAATGATATGTGGGCTCCACACCTACGTACTGTGTCTTTTCTGTTGTATGCATTTGACTGACCACAACAACCCTAAACACAGACTATTCAGAGATTAATTTTGCTATTGCTTATGAAGTAGATTAGTGGCAGCCTGAGGGGCAATTAAGAACACCTAAATTGTCCGTTATGCATCGTGGTCATTGGATTAGGACTAATCATTTAAATGTTCGCTTTGATTCCATACATTTCATTTTCTATGGAGGCTGTGGTGACAAATTTGTTCTTTAGCAATACAGAGTTTGTGATGCAAGCACATACTTGGAATGACATGTGGCACGTGTCAAGTACCCGAGTCTTATCATTGGTTGATGTTTGTAATAACTTGACTTTCAAAATGATGCATATTTTTGTAAATAATTGCTATGCTGGTTTAGATTCTACACATTTCCGCTTCTATGGAGGTAATCGAGAGATTTGTCGTTTACAAATATTTGAAATTTGACATGTAGTTGCATGTATGGAATGACGTGTGGCATGTGCCAATTACGCGAATTTGCTCATTGGTTGATTTTGGCGATAGTTCGACTTGCGACAATAATTCATAGGTTTATAAATTATCGTCATATTAATTTTTTTTGTTCATTTCATACGAGAGAGAACAATTTTAAACTTATATTTGTAACACTCTGATGCATGGAAACGCGAATAGAGAAACGAGATCAAATAACATAAATTATAACCTGTTAATTATCACTATAATATTAGATTACAATCTTCGATAACTTTGTTGATTCTTAAAAATACCAAGTCATTAGAACTAAAAGAGAATTCGTCTCTAAATTTTATTCAAAATAAATCAAAACTGCTAAATTAGTTATCAACACAATATAAATAAGAAACTCTAATGATCCTAAATTATTAGAAAAATCAAGTAAATATGCAATATTATAAAAATACCTCAAATCGTGGGATAAAAATAAAAAAAAATGCCTAAAAAGTACCATAAACATAGTTTTTTTTGGCTAAAAATGAAATGACTAGGATGAAGGTGCAAAACTTCAATCTTCCTCAAATTGCCGAGAATTTTCTAAAATAAAGTTTTATGCAATTTTTTGACATTGTCGCTCAAAATTAACACTGATTGATGCCTGATCAGCGCTACTTTCAATGATCGTAATCTGTCATGTAGTCTTCTACTATACATATTGCATCACACTCGCTGCTACAATATAAACTTTATATGCTTGTAATAAATCTATAAAAAACTTTAGGTTCTTGACATAATAGTCGTTAAAATATTCACATCAAAGGTATTCCGATGGTTTGTCTTTATTTTTTTGTAGTTCCATTGCTAGTTCTTCGTGTCTCTAAGTTTGCTAGCACAATAATGAGCTAAGTATATGCTGTCTCATAATGTTGATAATGAGGCATGTGCATATACAATGTGCCAAGGTCCTTGGCCATTACCACTTTTCGTTAACTTCAACATCAAATTGTAAGACTTTGTCCGTAAATCAGTGTTGGGTAGCAATCAATTCTCTTTTATACTTCGATAATATCATTGTTAAAATGATGACTCGGTCACTATCAAGATTTACGTATAGTATCAAAAATATTAATTCAATCCTATCTAGTTATCATTTAGAGAAATTTAGATTACGATTAAAAGAGACTGGTCCTTGGACCTCATTGATCGACTTTTCAAAATTTTGCTTCTTGTTGAAGTATAACTTGATTCTTTGAGTAATATTTTTGTAGCCTGATATTATAAAGTAATTTTTCGGTATCGTAATCTTTTTTTCTTCTCTTAATTGGAGCTATGTTTGTTATATCATGACTTTTTTTTGAAGTCTGCCTCTACTTCAATTAGAGCTTAATGAGCAAAACACTGTCTTGATAAGAGGCTCGACAAAATAGACATGCGTGTGAAAAATTAAGTTTATAATTGAGACCTGGGTTCTATTCTCGTGTCAAAATGACCTGTGTCATCTATTCAACCCCAAGTTCCATACCATCTGGAAGTCAAGAAAGCTGATGGGACATTTTTAGACACTCTCAGATGATGACACCTATACTTGGCGTCAATGGAAACATCTGCTCTAATATTGACATGTCTTCGTGGTTTTTAACCCCCCTGCCCTGAGGATACTATTTACAGGGATCAGAGATCCCCAAACCACCATGGAGTGACACGTAGTCCTCGACAGTTTGGGGTACATTGATCCCAAATCATGCTAGTCCCTCAGCACCGAGGGGTATCTATCGCGTCGGTATTTCTGCACCTGCAGGAGATACTGATGGACAGATCACTAGTCTAGACAATGCTAGACTAGCCATTATGATCTCGTCTTACTCAAATGGTGTCAGGAGGCACAAGAAAGCAGAAGGCTCAACCAAAGGAGAATGGGCACGTGGCGTATTATGTCAGATCAGAGACAAAGAGACCAGAATGCCCTTACTGACACATGACTTGAGAAAGCAAGTATTTAATGCACCTTTCCCTTGATGAGACAACATTTAATGCATGAGGGCTCGGAAGTGAAAGGTAATAAATGTCCCAAAGCCTGGGCATTTAATACACCCCCGCCGAGAGAAGATCATTAAACGTTCGGCAGACAGAGGAGAAAATATTAGTTGCTCGGGGTCCCGAGCAGTAAAGAATAAGATCATTACTCATAGGAATTGGTGTGCACGCTGCCCAC